CTCATTGCTCCCGTAAAGCAAAACACACACACAGGGAGAGAGAGAGAGAGAGGTCGCCCACTCAATGCAATAAAAACAAAACAGAAACAGTTACGGTGCTCCGCCCATGCAGCCAGGCAGGACGGCAGCGGTGCGTGTCGTGCAAAAGAGAGCACCAACGGGCCTGCATGGGTGTGCATGCAATATATACAATGGGCACATTATTTGTGTGCCTCGTGGGATGAGGTGAGGGCGAGAGTCCATGCAAGGGGACACGCACACAGAGAGTGAGTGAAAGACGAGTGTGTGTGCGGGCGGTGCATGGCGCTCTCTCACTCACTCTCACGCGGCCACCACCGCAGCAGCAGCCGCACACGCAACAACAAGAAGAAGAAGCAAAAGAGGGGAGGTGGTGTGGGAGACCGCGGTGCTGCTGTCGCTGTCGTCTTTATTTGCGGTGACATTTGTGCGAACAGCGTTTTCATCCTTTGCGGATTCCTCTTCGTTCTCTGTGGGATGTTCATGCTGTTGATGTTGTTGATCTTGTATTTCATCTTTTTGTTGCTGTTGTTCTTCTTCATGTTTTATGCTTTCTTCATCTTGTTTTTCCTGTATTTCTTGCTGATCTTTTAGTTCTTCTCGATGTTCTCGTTGTTCCAGTTGTCCTGATCGTTGTTTTTCTTTTCCGCGTTCTTGTTTCACTTGAAGTTGTTTGAACGTGTGTTGTTCTTGTGGCAGTGGGTTTTGGGTGCTCAGTTCATGTCCCGGTTCTTCTTTTTGTAATACTTTATTATTTTGTGTAGATTCGTGTTCGACTGGACTATCCTGGTCTTGTTTTGCTTTTTTTAGTTCATCTTCTTCTCCTTCTTCTGATAGTGATAGTGGAGGAGGAGGTGCTGGTTGATTTCTCGTGTCAGCTCCAGCTTCCGTCGGCCCTTTATTTTCATATTCATTCCCAGTTGGTTTGCGTGGACCGGCATCTAACTTCACTTCCTGCTCTTGTGGGACACGTATGTCCGTGTTTGGCATCGAAGCTTCCTTCCCTTCCTGTGAGTTTGTAGATCCTCCTCCTCCTCCTCCTCCTCCCGCTGCTGCTGCCGTTGTTTCTCCTTGCCTCACTGGTAAACTCAGATCTGAAGAAGATAAATGTTCCGCATTCTTGTCGTCCCTGCCAGTACCAAGATCATCGGTATCACCATTGGCTACCACCGCAGCACCGCACCACAGCACGCAGAGGGCACACACCAGCAGCACACGGCCAGTCATCATCATCGCCATCACTCCTTTCACTTGCGTGTAGCCCTCAGCACAGACTAACACCCCGTCAATAGAGAGAAAAAGCAAAAAAAGAAAGACACGGTCACTACAACACAAACAGCCGCCGCACCGTAACAAACGGCAGCAGCAGCAGCGCACACACCCACGCAGAGCTGCTGAGGCTGCCGTCGACTTCGCGAAGACGTGACGGTGTGCGGGTGGTCGTCGTGGTTGGTACTTCTGCACTGTTGGCCGCATCACTTGTTGCCTCTGGCGCGGCGGTCGTTGTCGTTGTTTTGGTAGTCGTAGTTGGTGCCTTTGTGGTTGTGGTCGTCGTGGTCTTTGATGCAGTCGTCTTCTTTTCTTCTTTTTCGGGTACAATCGGCCCACTTTGTGCCCCTGACGCAACGGTTGGTGCAGTAGGTAGCTGTAGCAGAACTCCAGGACTTTGTAACTGTGACTGACCCGACACACCTGAAGCACCTTGATTGTTGGAGGACCCACCGGTTGGCAAATCTTTTCTGTTATCTCTACCGTCCGAAGCAACTATTTCCTCATCAATTATGAATGGGTCCTTTTCCTTTCTGCCTGATATCTCTTCTTTTTTGCCTGGTTCCTGTAACCGTGATGCCTTTGGCACAGCGGGGTCAGTTCTGGGGGCATCATTAACTTCACTCGCCATCACGCAAACGGAGGGGCAGCAGCACAGGGCGAGCACCAACAGGGCGCACAGCAGACGGCACGTCATCATCATCGTGAGTGTGGTCGTCCATTCGTGTGGAGCTAATCTGCACAGTGAGGGACATGGAGAGCAACAGAGGAGACGAGAGGTGCAGCAGACACACACACAGAGGGCAAACCACGTGAGGAGAGGGCAGCAGCCAGGCATGCACCGTGCGCCGCACACCACGCACGACACACACTCCAATCCACGGCAACAGGCACACACACACACACACAGCCCTGCCGCAAGACCAACACACAGATGGAAGAGGGAGAAGCAAACAGGAGCGGCACACAAGGCTCCACCGCATGCACATACGGCGAGAGCGGTCCGTCGTGTCTGCACCCCTCACGGAGGGTGCGCACACACACAGGAGGAAGTGCAGCGCCCACAGCAACACAAAAGGAAAGTAACAATAGAAAGAGAAGAGATCCCCGCACACCACGCGGATTGTTGGTCCAGGGGAAGTGCAGCCAATATTCATCACAAAGCAGCTTGTTATCTTGTTTTGGTTGTATGCTGCGACAATAACGAGTGAGTAGCGCAAGGGCCGTCCGTACAAAAGTGGCAAGTATTCCGTCGCAAACGGGCCGTCGTGCGGGCTGGGGCGGTCCCACACAGTCGCAGTCCCAATTCCCAACAACGAGGGCATTCCCACAGTGGATGAAGCGGAGTCTCCCGTGGTCCGTCGGGGATCAGCAGCCCGTGGCGTCTGTTACGAGGCGGTGGCGGAAGCGCCGGTCCACCTCGAGTGCCCGCGTTTGTGCTTCCTGCGTGTCTTGCCTGCTGGCATGCTTGGCATTTTCGGTGGCGACCTGCGCGCAAGACGTCTGTTAAGAAGACGGTGGCGCCATCGTGGCATCCGCATGGGAGGCCCTCGCAAACTATTATAACGCCAGGCTGAGCACGTCGGGCATGTGCCCTCATACTGTGGACGGACAAGTGAACTCTGCCGCAGGTTGGGCAGGAGGACGTCAATCCGTCGCTCGCTGGTCGGCAAAAATTTGCGGCGCTCACGTCTGGAAGAGGTTCCGGCGGAGGCAGAGGCGGGCCGATCTCCTCAGTAAAGAAAGGAAGGCACCACCGACACAGGAGTTAATTGTAATCCGCAGGGCGCGTGCAGGTCCGTCGAAGAGTGGTCAGGAGTCGCATCGTACCTGCGCACAAAGTCGTGATTCGATGCCCGACGTCTGCTTGGACACCAGGGATGTTTTTTTTTTTTTTTTGTTACACCGACGAGCGCTTGTTGTGCGATGTGCGCGACTTCCTTCTTACTCCTGGACTTTCCTTCAGTACAGTCGCTTCACTGCAGTGAGGAAGCCCACGTGCCAGGCATCGACGCAGTCCTTCGGGAGGGATCGTGGCATGACGGCATCAGCGTCCGCTGTCACGCTGCGTGGGATTCCGCAGTGCCATGAGGAAAATGTGGAGTCAGCTGTACGACCTCAATCCTCCAGCGAAAGCGGCACGGCACAAATCTCCTCGCTGACGTCGTCGTGCACCGCCAGCGGGCCAAGGCAGAGCGACTCCATCGCCGAGAGGGAGTCTGTGGCGGCAGGAACTCGTGTGGGCGATTGGGATGCTGCCAGACGGGGAACTGGGAAGCGTCTGAGGCCATGCTCAGTGGCAGGACACTCCGCTCGGCAGGAGCATGCAAGGCTGCCAGCAGCTGTGCGGTGAAGCCCACAGGGAGCGCGGCTGTCCGGGGAGTCAAGTGGCATTGCAGCGGATCCAGATGGATGCTCAGCGAGAGGCGACAAGCCGTCCGTCCAGCGGCCTGCGTCATATGGTCCCAGAGAGGCGCAGGCCGCTTCAAGGGCCGATCGTCTGACACCGTCCAGGGCGTCTTGGGCTTGCCGTGGCTGGAAGACGGCCACCCCTCTGCAGCTCACAGTGCCCAGACAACAATGCGGTGCTCAGCATGAGGGGCGGATGTGGTGCGGGGAGATCTCCATGTGGCTGCGGACGCGTCGCATTTCCTTGAGGACGGCATCTCCCGGCAGCGGAATACTCGTCACTGCATTCCCATTTATCGAATAAAGCATGGTTTCCAAGCAGATTGCGCCACGCACGTCCTCAATATATCAATGAAATGTGAGGCGTTCTTGCTGTGTGGGTGCGCGAAACCCAATGATCCTCCGCAGCGGTGCTGGATTGGCTGCCAGGTGGACAGAAGTATCCTTCGTTGTTGCGCGTGGGCCGAGCGATGCCGTGCAGCTGTCGCGGTGCCGCACTTCCAGGCTGTGGAGATGAGTGGGGGCCGGACACGATGCGATTGCCTCGCCGCCGTGCTGCGACACACTGTGGATGCATCCGGCCAGAATGGAACGCATGGTGTGAAGGGACGCCCAATATCCTGCGACCAGTCGCGGATGGCGAAGCGGCACTGTCTGCATTTTGGTCTGGTTAAAGAATTTTTGTTTCATTCCCATTGTGCTGCGTGATGACGGCTCGTGAGCGTCTCTGGTGCTGGTGAGGGACGCGTTTCCAAAGGACACGTTGCAGGCACACAGCGTCGTTTAGAACAAAGGATTGGTGTCTGTCACCGTGAAGGCATCATCAACGGTCCCGGATGACAGCAGAATGCACTGCGGCTTCTTTTGGTGTTGCACATCGACTTTATTTGTTGGAGTGCTTGGTTTCATTCTCTTGGGGCTTTTGTGGAAGAAAGTGGGAGGTTGAGGGCATTAGAACTGAATACTTTTGAGTGGCTGGGTTCCGTTGGCTTGCGGCCGGTCGTGGCACTCTTTTGGGGTTTGGCAGCTCTTCTCTTTTGTTTACTTCCCACCGCAGCACGTGGATAATACTGATCCGAAGAACATTTGTTTGACCGCGTGTGGGTTGCTGCCGTGCGTGGTGCATGGACTATGTGATTGTGTGGGGAGGTGCATTGGAGTGACGAATACTTCTCTTTGGCGTGTCGCGGTGTGCCGGAATGATGTTCGAAAAACATGTGGAGGGTGTTGTTTGTAATTTGTGTGTCTTCTCTGGTGGAGCCGACATGCGTGCGGGGGTTGTGGCATTGCTGGCTGACAGTTCCACGTCACTTTTCAGCATTCCTGGATGTGCCGAGGAATGACGGCTGGCGACCAGCGTGTTGGTGCTGCTGGTGGGAATAAGTGCATCGGGAATAGGCCGTTTTCTCTTTTCCGTGCTGGAGCCGATGAACTGGCACGAGGGCACCGGCAGCAGGCTGCCTGCCAGCACGTGTGAGCAGCGGATCCATGCACACACAGACGCTCGTCGCAAGAGCGTGTGCGACCACAGTGGCCTTTTGTGGCGTGCTTTTGTGGACGTCAGCCCACCGAAGAATATGTGAACCAAACGGCTGACTGCACACGAGGAAAATAAGTGCGTGCACTGTGCCGTGTTTCAGCGTCGATGGCAGTGCGACAGGAAGCCCGTGCTGGCAGTTGAGATCTTTGCGTCGCGAGGGATGTCGGTGTTGATTTTGGATCGTCGAGGGTGAAATGATTTTGGTGCTGCCCGTGTGTGTGGCCACTCCGGCAGAGGGAGGACACAAAAGGGAGGGATGCAGGCGCTGCGTGTGTGTGTGCAGGTGCCATGCAACAACGTCACAACAAACATGCTGCGACTCGGTGACCCTCACATCATTGTGGTCCTCACGAACAGCCGAGGCACGGCCCACACCGATGCACTTAGTGGACGGATTGAGGCATCTTTTGAGGCGCAGCAGGGAGCAGGATGTGTTGGCGCTGCCACGACGTGCATGGAGTGTCACGATGGCACAGTCAGCTGTGGCTGGTGGAATATTTACTTCTCGGAGGCAACAGAGAGAGAGAGAGAGAGAGAGAGAGAGAGAGAGAGAGAGAGAGAGAGAGAGAGAGAGAGAGAGAGAGAGAGAGAGAGAGAGAGAGAGAGGGCTGCTCCTGCTGCTGGCGTTGTTTCTACCTCTTGTGGCCTCCCATGCCGATTAATGTCTGTCCGCTGATCATGGGTGCTGTGCCTCCACTACTGACTTCGTCTGCAGGCATTTCACAGCACCAGTGAAACACACATCGTGTCGCATGCTTTGGCTGTGGATATGGTGTCGTGAATGCAGCCGGCGTTATTTTGCCCGACTCCTTTTCACTGCTTTGCGACGAATAGATGCGTCCCCGCCCGAGTCATTCACTGCAGCTCCGTGTGTTGTACTGCCAGCACAAGACTCTCTTGTTGTCTGACGCCTGGCTGACAGTCAAACACCACTGCGTTGGGACATGCAAGGATGTGGACTGCCGCTCACGGTGTTGGGCACCGCGGTTTGGATGCGGCGGTCACACGAGCGGATGTATTGTGGCACAATGAAATGCGTGAAATATGCGGAATCACAGCGGCTGCAATAATATCAGCGGTGTGGCACCACGGAGTATGTGAGGGGGTGATGCATGCTGAATCACAGTGGGCGGCATGCGAGGGAAGTGCACCGCGACGGAGCGTCGTCCCGCCCTCAGCCTGCAGGAGAATGTACACCCACAAAATATATGGACGAGACACCACCAAACACACATGCCCTTCCATGCACCAATAAATAGGAGCGAAGGTGCGTTCTGGTGTGTGGGAGTCCACTCACATATTTTTATTTCCACCGCAATAAACGGTGAGGAATCAGGTGCCACAGCAACGAAAGGAAACACAAACATCTACTGCGGCACTTTACCAGCGAAAAGCAGGAACAACACAAACCGAATTATTGGCTGCACCAACGCAAGAAACATTCACAAGAGGGAAAAAACATAATTGTGCACCCTGCAGAAATCCTCAACACACGACCCAGGCATGAAGGTTTACCCTCTGCAAAAAAAAAAAAAACAAAAAAAACAAAACGCATGCAGACATCTGCCACCCTCCAAAAAGAAACACAAATAAATGGTTGCTTGATTTATTCCATTCCCTGCGCTTATTTTTTGCGTGTGCGGCTGCTGCGGTGGTGACCGCGCCTGCATGAAGTGGTGTGCGCTGAATATGAACGGAGGCCGAAGGCAACTGAATTGTTTTTGTGATGAATATTGGCTGCACTTCCCGTGGATCAAAGATCCACGTGGTGTGCGGGGATCATTCCTTTTTTATTGTTACTTTGCTGTTTGCACTGCACCTTTTTTTTTGTGTTTGCGTGCCCTCCGTGAGGGGTGAAGACACGACGGACCGCTCTCGCCGTATGTGCATGCGGTGGAGTCTTGCGTGCCGCTCCTGTTTGCTTCTCCCTCTTCCATCTGTGTGTTGGTGTTGCGGCAGGGCTGTGTGTGTGTGTGTGCCTGTTGCCGTGGATTGGAGTGTGTGTCGTGCGTGGTGTGCGGCGCACGGTGCATGCCTGGCTGCTGCCCTCTCCTCATGTGGTGTGCCCTCTGTGTGTGTGTCTGCCGCACCTCTCTTCTCCCCTGTTGCTCTCCATGTCCCTCACTGTGCAGATTAGCTCCACACCAATGAACGACCACACTCACGATGATGATGACGTGCCGGTTGCTGTGCGCCCTGTTGGTGCTCGCCCTGTGCTGCTGTCCGTGTGCCTTCACGACATCGGTTGTTTCGGAAAAAGATGCCCCCGATGTACCCCCAACACCGCTAAAGGAGCCAGCTCCGGGGAAAATTTCTTCAGTTTCAACTACCCCTACAGTTTTGGAACCGGGTAGTGTCGGTGCGGCATCTCAAGCAGGTTTGGTCGTTGCGGTAAAGACGCTAGGTGGACAGTCCATTACACAAGATAAAATAGGAGCGCCTGGTCATTCATTGCCAGGAGGTGGGAACAACGATCTGCCACGTTCAACGGATATTCCCGATAATACGGTAGAAAAAAATACGGAGCATAATACGGAAGAGTCCAAAACTAATAAAAAGGATAAGGTACAGACACCAAATACGACGACCACAACAACTACGACGACAACTACAACCACAGAGGCACCAAGTAATACGGCGATGAATACAAAAGTACCAACCACGACGACCACCCACGCACCGTCACGTCTTCGCGAAATCGACGGCACCCTCAGCAGCTCTGCGTGGGTGTGTACCCCGCTGCTGCTCGCCGCATCCGCGCTGGCGTAAACCGCTCTGGGCTGAAGAGGTGTATGCGGGCTGTGCGTGCCAGCACTCAACCGCGGGGACTTGTGTGCGTCTACTGTGGTCCGATGTAAAGAGGATAAACTATTGATTGTGTTTTGCTTCATTTGCTTCCGCTGCCCTGCTGTGTGCTCCGCGTTGCCCCCACATCCGCCACTTTGAACGCGTCTCAGTCACACTCATATGCACGACATGCATGCAACTGTTTGCGTGGACGTGCCGTTGAGTTTAGTTGCATGCGCACTGGAGACATTTGTGTGCAGGTTTTTGTTTCTTGTTTTTTTACTGTTTTACTATTTTACTTTATTGCTGCGTGTTTGCATTTTTTGTTTCCCCTTTTTTGTGTGTTTTTCTTGTTGTTAAATTTTGACAGGGTGTTGTGCGTCTTTTGCACTTTCATTGGTTCAATATTTCTCATGAAACGCGTGCTGCCGGCGGTGTTTTTTACTGTGCCGTGTCTTTTCTTTTGCCTTTCACTCTGCGTTGACGGGGAGTTAGTTTGTGCTGAAGGCTGCACGCAAGTGACAGGAGTGATGGCGATGATGATGACTGGCCGTGTGCTGCTGGTGTGTGCCCTCTGCGTGCTGTGGTGCGGTCCTGCGGTGGTGGTGTCGTCGGCGCCTGATGCTGCCCGTGCCCAAAGTGTTTGGCCTGAGTATTTGTTCCTAAATTGGCAGGAAATGTTGAGGAACGAATGCGAGGTGGAAAATCCGTATGAGAAGAATGTGGGTTTAAAAAAGTTAGCCGTGAATTGTTGTGTGCATGATGCGATGAGGGCGCTTTGCAGCGCTTTTTACGGTACGACTGTCATGGAAAATAAAGACCCCAAAGTTGAGGGTATTTGCAAAGAGTACGCTGGAAAACCAGATGATGTTGCTGATTGCCCAAAACCACAAACCAACCTGTCGTCTGCTGCGGTAAATTCAGTGAAAGTATCAGTTCCAGAAGCACCGAAAGACGAAGAAGAAGAATTGAGAAAGACACCGGAAGAGGTACCGACACCACTACCGGGAACACCTCTGGCGGATCCACCAGCAAAACCAACAAAAGTATCACCATCACCTCCACTGAAAGGACAACCCACCAACGCAGAGGAAGTGCCGGTGCCAAATTCAGAGGAAGGCTCAGTAAACACGGAGCCCACAAAAGATTCGGAAGAGGAGGACACTGACACAGACACAGACACCGAGCAGGATGAACCATCTAACAGTCAAGCCGAATCAACCACACCAACACCCACGGTTGTCAGCGATAATGATGATAACGAAACGGACAAGAGCACTGGAGAAGATACTCCGAACAATGCACCGGAATCCGATGTTGCCGGGACAGAAGAAAATCAAGAGGAAAATAAAAAAAATAAACCGAAGGAAAGAACGCTCCAAGTTGCGGGTATAAAAACCGCCACGGTGACGTCTGGCGACGCTGACGGCAGCACCGCGGTCTCCCACACCACCTCCCCTCTTTTGCTTCTTCTTCTTGTTGTTGTGTGTGCGGCTGCTGCTGCGGTGGTGGCCGCGTGAGAGTGAGGGAGAGAGCGCCATGCACCGCCCGCACACACACTCGTCTTTCCCTCACTCTCTGTGTGTGTCCCCTTGCATGGACTCTCGCCCTCACCTCACCCCACGAAGCACACACATAATGTGCCCATTGTATGTATTGCATGCACACCCATGCATGCCCGTTGGTGCTCTCTTTTGCACCACACGCACCGCTGCCGTCCTGCCTGGCTGCATGGGCGGAGCACCGTAACTGTTTTTAACATTCTTTTTTCTTGTTTTCTTTAATATATATATATTTTTAATCCTTTTTTTAATTATCTCCCCCATCCCTTCTCTTTTTTTGCTTTTTGGGGGCAATCACTATGGACGTTTTTTTCGTTTTTTCTACTCTTCCCTTTTTTAATTGTTTCTTGCTGCACTCTTCCTGCGAGGGGTGCCGTGTGTTTCCCGCCCAACTGCTCCACTCGCACACCCACCGACACGCTCATGACGACGGCCCTGTGCGCCTCGCCTGCTGCACGCATGAGGAGGGGCCGCGACGAACGGCGCGCTGAGGGAGCCGTGACGTGTGGGCGTGCGACGAGGGCCTGTGGGGCGGAGCACACATTTCTTTCCCTCTTGTTTTGTTTTCTTTTTTGCGGCCAGGGCGGGCAGACACCCGCAGCGCTACACACACACACACAGCCACGCCCTGCCGCCGTGTTTTTTTTATATTTGATGGGTGTGTGAGACCGTGGGGAGCGGAATGCGTGAGCGAACCCTCCGTGCCCACCACGTTGTTGTTGGCTCTCACCAACACTGTGCTGGGTGGATGGCACCTACTTGCCGTCGTTGCGGTGGTCCTCGTGCATCGAGTACAGTGCCGTCACACCGCGCGTGTGGCACTCTTGTTGTGGCTGCCCGTCATTCCTGTGACTATTTTCTTTCTTATTCCTCTCTTGTTTGTTGTTCAGTAATCAGCTTTAACTCAATTCATCCAAGAAAACAAGGAGAAGCAATGCCTGGAAATCAAGCGTCTGCTGTGCCGCAGGGAGATATTCGGAGGAGAGCGAGGCCGGAGTTGGAGGGTATCACAGGTCAACCCGCTGCGACACAAATAAGAGTGGAGGAGGCGCGGCGACCAGAGTGGACCATGAGCAGCACAGTAAAGGACATCCTGCTGGAGGGAAGCACTGGAATGGCCAACATGATGCTCAATGATTTCCTTTGGGATTATGTTGGCGGCGGGGCAGCCGTTGATGAAGACCACAATGTTACGATGGAGGTGTTTTTCCATAAGCCGGATGATTACGTACAAGACCAGCAGCTTTTTGATGAGATTCATAATTTAACAGAGTACCAAAAGCTAGAAGGGAGGAGAATACTATTGGAGGCTACTACTAAGCTTGAAGGAGAAGGCGTGTTCATTCTTGAAGAATGGAGGGATTTTGGAAGAAAGGCTACGGTCGCTCTTTTTGCAAGGGAAAAACTAAACAAAGTTCTCACCCAAGTACTGAAAGAAAAAATGCTTGAGGCAAGAGGAAGAGCATGGCAGCAACGAGAACTAGAATTTACTATTTCCACTAATATCGAAGATGTACTGTTTAAAGGTAGTCCTCGCTTCATGGACATAAAGCTGAATGATTTTCTTGCGTTGAAATTGTGCGGCTGGGGCATTTTGCGCGCCAATCGGAATGTCTTGTTGAAGAAGTTTTTCAGGGAACCCTCGAAGTATATCCGTGATGCGTGAGTATTGGTCAAAATACAGGCATCAGTTTATTATGCGAGAATGGATATTGCCGTATGGAATGAAATGGTTTTTGATGAGGATATACGCAAGCTTTACGAGAATGGTGTACACAAACTATTTGAGTGGTCAGAAGCTGCTGCGGAGGTAAAAGCAAGTGTTGAACGCATCACTAAACAGTTTTTGGATGCGGCCGTCATTGAATCGATGAGCCCAATGACGAAGAGCGCACCGATGAAACTGGAGGGATGCTACGAGTCTGTGTACAATTCGAGGTGGAGCCATGTCGTGGAAGTTCCTGGCGGCGAGGGGACGGGAATGGAAGTGAGGGAGGGGAAACCACCGCAGTCATGGAAGTACAAGGCAGTTGGCGACACCCTCGAAAGGAATGACGATGTGGAGGAACCCGATGCACCACGTCTCAGGCTGACGGTGCTCACCTCGGACAAGGGATGGCCGTACTCGTGGAAGGAGGAGGACTCCATTCGTGACTGCTACGTGAACTGTGAGGTGGAGCGAGTGTGGAAGATCGTCAAAAGGGATTTAACCGAGTGGTTCAACACTGACGGTGGGGACTACTTTACGACTGACCGGAGTGTGTTGATTGGGACGCCCGGGATGGGGAAGTCGATGAATGCCGGCTCGTACCTCCTCTACCAGCTGCTGCACTACGATGCGGAGCAGCTCCCAATGGTTGCGTACTTTATTGGGAATCGAACATTTCTGTTTGACAAAATCGCAAAAACGGTGTCAGTGTACATGAGTGAGGGCAGTATCCTTCGTATTATGGACGGCTTGTCTCGGCGTGGGGTGAAGGGGTATATTATCTACGACGTGGCATTGAAGGGTCATGAACCGTTTACTGGTTTGCCTTGCCGGGGATGGGGCATGATTGTGGTGACACCACCGAACATAAACAACTACGAATGATGGGCGAAGCAAATGGGAGCGGAAGAATTCATAATTAATTGTCCCGAAGAAAACGATGTGAAGGCAATGTGCTCTTGGATAAAGCGCAATCAAATTCCGCAGGAGCAAGCGAAATACTGGAAGGAGGTGAATGGTTGCATGAATAAAGTGGGGCCAATTCTCCGCTTCATTTTTGGCAAACAGGCATCTGATGACCGCATTAACGCGTGTCAACAGGCTGTAGATGGGATGAACGCTTTGACATTCGAGCGTTACTTGTATTTTGGATATTGTTGATTGTCCAACAACAGCGACTTGTTTCAAAAGCTTGTAAGGGTTGTCCAAATACGACAAAGATACAACATTGAACTGTCTTTGAATGTACTGACATTTCCCTACGTAGAAAGCAAAACATTGTCCCGGTTGGAAAATGAAAGGAAGCACTTCAATTTTATCTTCCTTGTTTTGAGGTTCTGGGATTATGTCCCACCATATCTTATTGAAAAGTATGCCGTATCCGCATTTTTGAATGGGGATTTCCTGCGTGCGGTAAGACTTAAAATTGAGGAACTGAGGCCACCAGGACGACGTGAGCCACACAGCTGTGTGCTGAAAGAGCACTCAGACACGAGCTTCACCAGAAAAGAGGTTCTACCGCCACCGGAACGTCTTTCCAATCCGGTTGCTATGGACCACTGGGTGCTGTATGAACCGAAGGTCCAACACTTTCCGCTGGTGGACGGCTTTTTCTTTGTGGACTCAAATCCAATGACGCTGGTTGGGCTGCGGATGTCTACGGCAAGTAAGCACCACAACCAGCACCGTGAGGCAGTTCACTGAGTGTCTGGCGGCATATTTTGATGATTGGGAGGAGTTATCCCGAGACATGTTGTGGGAGATTATTTATGTGCAGCACGAGATATACAGGCCGACGAAGGAATGGCAGAGATGTGATGTCGTCAATTCCAATACTTTGGGCGACGGTGAAAACCGAGAGATTGCGGCGTTCTGGAAGGAAAAGGTGCGCCAGTATCAGGTGTCAATATCATCCAGAGACTTTTGAAGAGACGAGGCACTCCGAAGTGAAGAAGAACTGTTGAAATGGGAAAACGAATTGGGAAAGGGGCAGTTTTTGATTTCTGGTAAAAAAAAATATTATGGGATTTATATGTTTTTGGATACTTGTGTGGCTACGGTGCGGGTGCACCCGCACCAGACGGCAGTATATCACACAGATTTCAGAACTGTCCAACGCTATCGAACTTAACAGTGGCAGAAAGAAATTAGGGAGGGAGTGGGGTTGTTTGTTTTCTGGTGAAAAACATTGGGTGATTTTCATATAGTATGCTGATTGTGTGTGTGTATACGAGGCATAATTGGAAAACTGCCCCGGTATGAGGGAATCATTGTGTTTGGCGCTGTCGCAGTACCACTGCATTGCCCATTTTCTTCTATTGTGCTCTAAGGCTCATCACTAACAGAAGCATTTTTAAGGGATGGACGACGAATAGGTTGTATTGATGAAATGGTGCACACCGTGTGGCTGCATGGAGTGAGGCGCCGCGTCGTGGATGGATAAGGATCCGCTTCCGCGTGTGGCTCTTTGGGTGGTTGCTTGCTCCGTGTGCGTTGTGTGCCGGCAGCGGGCTGTGTTCGTATCCCGTTGGCCGTGGGATTGAACTGGAGACGGTGGCGGTGTGTCTCTTTTCCTCGCCCATTGTGGGTGAATGCGGGCGGTGCGCGCGTTTGTTGTGTGGAGGGCCGAATCCTCCCATGCGCGGACTGACAGCACTGCGATGGTGTGTGTGTGTGTGTGAGGGCGATTGTGCTCCGCGCTGTTCCTTCCGGATTCTCTTGTGTCCCGCTCTCCGCGTGGGTGCTCTGCTCTGCTCCCCACGGACGTGCCTGATGTGTTGCCGCTGTCGCTGTGCTCCTCTCCGCCTCTTGAACACAGACACGCTAGGAAGGAAAGCAAACAAACGCTACTGTGAAATTCGAAGACTCTTAAAGGACCAACAGCAAACACACCGCCCACACACACACATATTTATATGCTCTCACGTGTTGCTGCTGTGAAGGCACCCCGCACACACAACCGTCGCCGCGTGACCGGATCCAGCGGAAAGATGAGGGAAGGAAGAGAGAGTGAGCCGCAGAGGCCCAACATGTCCCGGCATGTGTTTACTTCCGCGGTGCTGCTTCTCCTTGTCGTTATGATGATGTGCTGTGGCACTGGAGCTGTGACCTCCGATGAGGAGCATTCAACTATTCCAAATTTTGAATGGACGGGCATCACGAATGATAAGGAAGTTGTGGAATCACTGGGTGTTCCCGGCCTTCTAAAAGTGGGGAATGACGTATTTGCCGTTGCCGAGGCGCAGTGCAAGAAGGATGGAAACAGCGGCTTTTCTGGGATTGCATCCCAACTACTCACGATGGGAAAAGGTAACGAACCGAAGGAAGTGCTGAAGGATGCCAAAAAGGATACACAAGTTCTGGAGGAAGGTACCTCCCCAGAGGAGGAGAGGAGAGTAGATGTGAGCCGACCAACAGCAGTTGTGGAGGGAGGTAAGATTTACATGCTTGTTGGAAAACACAGCCATGGAGATGTCGCTGAATGTAAGGCTACGAGCGAGAAGACCAAATCGGGAATATTGCTGGTAAAAGGAAACGTCGGTGGTGATGAAGCCGAGAAAAAAATTCGTTGGAACGATACTGACGGTCTCCCGTGCACTATAGGCGAGGAACACAAATCCCTGTCACAGCTGATTCTTGGCGGTGGATCGGGTGTCAAGTTGAAGGACGGCACTTTTTTTTTCCCCGTGGAAGCCACGAAAAAGAAGGAGAAGAAGGAGGAGAAAGATGTGAAAACCGTTTCGCTGATCATATACTCCTTGAAGGACACTAAGAGTTGGAAGCTGTCGAAGGGGATGTCTGCCGATGGCTGCGGTGATCCCTCCGTCGTGGAGTGGAAGGAAAAACTCATGATGATGACAGCGTGTGATGATGGCCGCCGCAGGGTGTACGAAATCGGTGACAAGGGGGAATCGTGGACGGAGGCACTCGGAACACTCTCGCGCGTGTGGGGCAACAAACAAAAGCGACATGAGAAGGGCGTTACAAGCGGGTTAATCACAGCGACGATTGACGGTGTTGATAGTGATAAGAGGAATGTGATGCTCGTTACTCTGCCGGTGTATTCCGAGAAGGACGGCAAGAAAAAGGGTAAACTCCATCTTTGGCTGACGGACAATGCGCACATTGTTGATATTGGGCCGGTATCCGGTGATGATGACGTTGCCGCCAGTTCCCTGTTGTACAGAAGTGCTGAGGGTGAAACTAAGGAGGAGTTGATTGCACTGTACGAGAAGAAGAAGGAGGGCGGTGAGGATACAGCATCACTCGGTATGGTCTCTGCGCTTCTGACAGCGCAGCTGCAGCGGGTGAAGGAGGTGCTGACGACCTGGAAGGAAGCAGACGAACGTGTCTCCAAGCTTTGCCCCACTTCAAGCGCTACGGAGGACACCTCATCTGGCACTGCCTGCGGCGCTGTTAAGATCACGGATGGGCTGGTTGGCTTTTTGTCCGGCAAGTTCTCTGATGGCACATGGAGGGACGAGTACCTCGGCGTGAACGCCACAGTAAAGGAGAATGATGTTGGGGGTAAGAAGGCAACATTGCATGAAGGCGGTGTGACTTTCCAGGGAGCGTGGGCGCAGTGGCCCGTTGGCAAGCAGGGGGAGAATCAGCTGTACCACTTTGCGAACTGCAACTTCACTCTTGTGGCGACGGTGTCCATCCACAAGGTGCCGAAAGGAGACAATCCATTGATGGGTGTGAAGATGAATGATAATGGGAAGACTGTACTCCTGGGACTGTCGTACAACAACAAAGAAACGAAATGGATTCTACTGTGTGGTGACAAAAGGTCTGAGGAGCTCAGCAGCCCTTGGGAGCCAGGGAAAAAACACCAATTGGCCATTGTGCTGCAGAACGGCAGCCAGGGCTCGGCGTACGTTGATGGTCAGCCTGTGGGTGGGGATGAACAATGTGCATTGGAAACTGCGGATTCGAAGGTGATATCACACTTCTTCATTGGAGGGGACGAACGCAGTGCAGGCGGCGCAGGGAGCGAAGAAGAAGTGTCTGTGACGGTGACGAACGTCCTGCTGTACAACCGCCCGTTGATTTCCGCAGAGATTGACGCTCTCAACCCGAATAAACTCCCCATTCCACCTCCGGTAGGTGGAAGTGCGCAAGGAACATTGTTGCAATCTCCTTCTGACGGGCAGCCGCTGTCGGATCTTAAATTGTTGAATGAAGATGAGGGTGTGGGCGGTGGCAGTGCATCCACATCAGCGGTGTCCACTGTAACGACTTCCTCAGGAAAAGAGCAATCCGCAAACCAGCTGTCGTCAGGAATATTTTCCGGTGGAAAAAAAAATGTGGATGGCGGTTCTTCATCCAATGATGACCAAACGGTGGGAGCGGAAGCTGGAGATACGGTGCCGGGGGATGGACCACCCCAAACTCCTGCGGGGACTCCCGCCACAGCAGATGCAAACACTCCTACCGCTACTGGCAAGAAGCAAGTTGACCCCGCAGATACAACTGAGGTGAGCGTGAGCTCTGGTGGGTATGGGGAGACGGCGGGAGGAACGGATGCGCAGAAGGAAGAGGTCCATCCACAGGACGGGGACGTAAATGCTACGGCGCTCAGCAGCAGCCTTGGAAATTTGTCGCAGGTGAATAACAGCGATGCCGGCACCATGCGTGAGAGCGGACTGCTGCCATCGCTGCTGCTTCTGTTGGGACTGTGGGGGTTTGCGGCTCTGTGAGGAGTGACTGGCAGCCGCGTGGGACACTTGCGCCCTCCCCACAGAATTACTGTCTCTGGAAAGAATATCTCTGATACTTTTACTTTTTTTTTGTGCGTATTTTAAATTTATTTTAATTTTTGCTTCTTTTCTTGTTTTAAAATTCTTTTTTTTTTTTTTTACTTTTGTGGCAATCACTGTGGACGTTTTTTCTTTTTTTCTACTCTTCCCTCTTTTAATTGTTTATTGCTGCACTCTTCCTGCGAGGGGTGCCGTGTGTTCCCGCCCAACTGCTCCACTCGCACACCCACCGACACGCTCATGACGACGGCCCTGTGCGCCTCGCCTGCTGCACGCATGAGGAGGGGCCGCGACGAACGGCGCGCTGAGGGAGCCGTGACGTGTGGGCGTGAGACGAGGGCCTGTGGGGCGGAGCACACATTTCTTTCCCTCTTGTTTTGTTTCTTTTTTGCGGCCGGGGCTGGCAGACACCCGCAGCGCCACACACACACACAGCCACACCCTGCCGCCGTGTTTTTTTGTTTTGTTTTCTTCTTTTTGTTTTTGTGGATGGTGTGTGCTGCCACCGCGTGTGATTGTTGAGGTTGTGCCGTACCGCATGCATCGCTGCTCTCCAGCTGTGCCTCTTGCTGTGCTGATGTGCCTCCCTGTGCTTCTCTTTTTCTCTGCTTTTCCAGCGCACACGCACACAGACTTAACTAGTTGCACGGTGCTCTGAAAGAATTTGTTGGCGACGGCGGGAAGCCTTTTTGCATTCCGCTTGGGGCCGGCTGTCGCGGCTGCACGATGCCCGCCATGCGTGAGGGCGCTGCCTGCTCTTGGGGTCATTCTTCTCTTCCCCTCTGTATTTGCGTTGCTCGGTGCATGCGTTGCTCGGTATGCTGACGCGTGACGGACGGTGCCACGATGGCCTCCTCCGGCGATGAAAGTCGCTGTGTTCTCAGCACACGTCCACACACTCTTTCTTGTCTCACTGTTGGAGTGATTGCAGCAGGGCATTGCTGCGAGCGTGATGGGGACCACGACGGCGCCACCCCTCGAGAAGGTCCCACGCACTTTCGGTTGTGGAGCGGCGAGGCGGTTTGCCTGCAGCCCGACTGACAGAACCGCACAGTCGTTTCATTGCGGTCACTCTGACGGCATCACCCGCTGCGGTGGTGTCCGCAAGAGCAGCAGCCCCGATGAGGATGGCCTCGTAGTTGTCTGGCAGCTCAGAACTTCAGGCCCTTCGCTCTTCAGAATTGCCCTTTCTGTCCGACTGGCGTAGCACCATCTCGGCATGGTTCTTCTGCAGGAGTGCAGGCACCAGAGTGCCCAGCGACGGGGCTCATTGGCCGCAGTTTCTTCCACCAGACGTGCAGTGGGCGTGCCGGTGGCGTGGCCCTCTTGGTGCGCCACACCTTGCCGTGCGAGCCCCTGTCGCTCCCTGGCACCAACTGCGTGGAGACCACCGCCCTCCGCGTGTGCCCACCGGCCAGCTCCAGAATGTACGTGGTGAACCTCTGCAGCCTTTCCCGGAAACTGCTCACGCTGCTCACCTTGCGAGCAACATTCGTCGCCCTTGTCCTGCAGCGCCCATCGCGTGCGAAACTAATTCACACGATGAGCTGCGGGACGGTTGCTCACGATCAACGACGGCAGGAGAGGACTTCGCCGCCACCCCAAGCGGCATGGAGATTGAGCTATCCCACGACCCGGCACAGGCAACGTGGATCAGCGGCCGCCACGTCTTGTTTCCCGACGTGACTGTGCAATGCGTACTGCGTGTCTCCCACTGGACGTCCACCAGTTTACATGGACTTGGACCACCCTTTGGTATTGTAGACTGCAGGGACGGAGGACGACATCCCGCGACAGGCAGGCATGCTGCCACGACGAAAACATGCCGTCGTTGTCATGCATGAAACCGACTGGACAGCATTCACTTTGCGTCGGCGTTCATGCACGTTGCCGACCGCACGCTTGTTGCCTTGGGTGCAGACATCCGTGCCTGTGCTGCGGCAAAGCAAGCTGCCGTGTCACTTGTGGCCACATGGGCTGCCGAGCACTGCCTGAGGATCAGCGCCGACAGGAGCGGTGCCGCTCTGTTCTGCATCGTTTCACGCTGACGGTCTGAGGAGGACACGGCCGACCATCGTCTGGGCGGTGGGAAGCCACGCGTCAAGTCCCACCCCGTGCGCCTGCTCGGCAATGCGATTGATCGACACCTCAATTTTGGTGTGCACGTCGCCGCCGCTGCACAGCAGACCGTGCCACGCCGCCATCAACTGCGGCTGGGTGCGGAGCTGGGGCGTCCCAGCAACACCTTGCGGTCCTTCTGGTTGGGTGCATCCACAGTGCGTTGCAGCACGGTGTCGAGGCAACCGCTCCGTGTCCGGCCCCCGCTCACCTCCACATCCTGGAAGTGCGGCACCGCGACAGCTGCACGGCATCGCTCGGCCCACGCGCAACAACGAAGGATACTTCTGTCCACCTGGCAGCCAATCTAGCACCGCTGCGGAGGTTCATTGGGTTTCGCGCACCCACACAGCAGGAACGCCTCACATTTCATTGATATATTGAGGACGTGCGTGGCGCAATCTGCTTGGAAACCATGCTTTGGTCGATAAATGGGAATGCAGTGACGAGTATTCCGCTGCCGGGAGATGCCGTCCTCAAGGAAATGCGACGCGTCCGCAGCCACATGGAGATCTCCCCGCACCACATCCGCGCCCCTCATGCTGAGCACCGCATTGTTGTCTGGGCACTGTGAGCTGCAGAGGGGTGGCCGTCTTCCAGCCACGGCGCGCCACTTGACGCCCTGGACGGTGTCAGACGATCGGCCCTTGAAACGGCCTGCACCTCCCTGGGATCATATGACGCAGGCCGCTGGACGGACGGCTTGTCGCCTCTCGCTGAGCATGCGTCTGGATTCGCTGCAATGCCACTTGACTCCCCGGACAGCCGCGCTCCCTGTGAGGCTTCACCGCACAGCTGCCGGCAGCCTTGCATGCTCCTGCCGAGCGGAGTGTCCTGTCACTGAGCATGGCCACGGACACTTCCCAGTTCCCCGCCTGGCAGCAGCATCCCAATCGCCCACACGAGTTCCTGCCGCCACAGGCTCCCTCTCGGCGATGGAGTCGCTCTGCCTTGGCCCGCTGGCGGTGCACGACGACGTCAGCGAGGAGATTTGTGCCGTGCCGCTTTCGCTGGAGGATTGAGGTCGTACAGCTGACTCCACATTTTCCTCATGACGCTGCGGAATCCCACGCAGCGTGACAGCGGACGCTGATGCCGTCATGCCACGATCCCTCCCGAAGGACTGCGCCAATGCCTGGCACGTGGGCCTCCTCACTGCAGTGAAGCGACTGTATTGAAGGAAAGTCCAGGAGTAAGAAGGAAGTCGCGCACATCGCACAACAAGCGCTCGTCGGTGTAACAGAAAAAAAAAAAAAACATCCCTGGTGTCCAGGCAGACGTCGGGCATCGAATCACGACTTTGTGCGCAGGTACGATGCGACTCCTGACCACTCTTCGACAGGCCCGCACGCGCCCTGCGAATCACAATCAGCCACTGCTTCGGTCGTGCCACCCATCCCTCACCAACGACACCGACCAGTGCATCACACGTTGTGGTCCAAATTTTTGTTTCCGATTGTGAATGGTGGGAGTCAGAGGCACTCTCTGTCAATATCTGTTTGCGTGTTCACACACTGGACACCAAACAACCCTGAATTATCCGCTGCTTGGAGGAATTTCGCGAGCTCTTGCCCACACGGGTGCTGCACTCGGCTGATCGTTTTCGAGCGGCTGCTGCATCACACGTTGTGGTCCAAATTTTTGTTTCCGATTGTGAATGGTGGGAGTCAGAGGCACTCTCTGTCAATATCTGTTTGCGTGTTCACACACTGGACACCAAACAACCCTGAACTATCCGCTGCTTGGAGGAATTTCGCGAGCTCTTGCCCACACGGGTGCTGCACTCGGCTGATCGTTTTCGAGCGGCTGCTGCATCACACGTTGTGGTCCAAATTTTTGTTTCCGATTGTGAATGGTGGGAGTCAGAGGCACTCTCTGTCAATATCTGTTTGCGTGTTCACACACTGGACACCAAACAACCCTGAACTATCCGCTGCTTGGAGGAATTTCGCGAGCTCTTGCCCACACGGGTGCTGCACTCGGCTGATCGTTTTCGAGCGGCTGCTGCATCACACGTTGTGGTCCAAATTTTTGTTTCCGATTGTGAATGGTGGGAGTCAGAGGCACTCTCTGTCAATATCTGTTTGCGTGTTCACACACTGGACACCAAACAACCCTGAACTATCCGCTGCTTGGAGGAATTTCGCGAGCTCTTGCCCACACGGGTGCTGCACTCGGCTGATCGTTTTCGAGCGGCCGCTGCATCACACGTTGTGGTCCAAATTTTTGTTTCCGATTGTGAATGGTGGGAGTCAGAGGCACTCTCTGTCACTATCTGTTTGCGTGTTCACACACTGGACACCAAACAAC